CTCAAGTCTAGTGCTCTACCACTTGAGCCACAGCACCACTTCCGGCTTTTTTCTTTTTGCTTATGTGGTGCTGAGGAATCGAATCCAGGGCCTCAGGCATGCAACGCAAGGACTCTACCACTGAGCCACCTTCCCAGCCCAACCATTGATTTTTGAGGGTTAATTTTATACCCTGCTACTTTGTCAAAGTTTTGAATCTGCTTGAGTAATTTGGGAGTGGAGTCTGAGGGATTCTTTAAATACAAGATCATGTCAACAGATAATGTTTAGAAGTATACTGAGTTCTTGTATATTAAGGTAATAGCTGAACAATTCCTTTTAGATATTCTGTTTACACAATCATAGTATCTAGAAATGTTGACAGTTTATTTCCTGCTCTTACTTATTTTTTTCTAAATACTAGTAAGATTTTTTGGTACAATGTTTAACATAAGTTTTGGTTCCTGATCTTGAAAGAAATACTTCTTTCTCTATTCAGTAACCAGTCGTTGGTATTAAGTTTTAGTTACTAGTATAAGCCATTCATTACTTTTACAAACCATTCATTTTTCAAAGTAAAGTTATATGATATTTCAGTTAAGCAAAATGGAAGTAAATTCTCACAACTGTCCACTAGTTATTGATTTCATGACACCTATTCTTTATGCACAATGTCTATTTACATATCTTCTATTTACATGTTGTATGATATGTGAAACTGTGCATTACTTTCCAACCTGTTGATTAGTAACACCCCGTGTATAGGTTCAATTCTGGTCAAATTGAAATACTTACACCATGGGAAACAGCAAATGCTACAAATCAGGTTTTAACAATCAATGAGAGCCTGTAGTTAGCAGTTACTGGCATATCTCAGTGAAAATTGACATTTGCTAAAATTCAAGCATTTTTCTCCCTGTTAACTCAAAATGAAGGGAGATGAGGAAGTAGAGGTAGGAACACTTTTCTCAGTGTGTCTGTAGCTTGTGAGGGATGATGATGTTTTTGTTGTTGTTGTTCAGGCAAGTGCGATGCTCCACTGACTTCTGCCTTGCCCCGGGCATCCTTCAGCAGCAGCTCAGCTCTGTCCAGCAGCCACGGCCCTGGATTTGCTAGTCTACATAGGAGAGATGGTGAGTCTGCTATTTTCAATCCACTCTGATCTTTTCCAAAGATTTTATATTCTTAGCTATTTTCCATATAGCTGCAAAACTAGTTATAATGAATTTAAGGAAAGGACCCATCATGTTATCATTTGTTAGCTTTCTTCTTGCTAATAAGTTTGTGTTTATTTTGTTTTGGTGTCTTTCCTCTGTACTAAATGACAATAAGTGCTGATGAGGAAAACTCAGCCAGAAAAGAAATATTTGAGGTCATAGATTATTTCCAATTATTTCATCTTTTTTAGTTTTAAAATACCATGTGTCTGGTAAAGTAAGCTGATCATAAGAAAAATATCACCAAAACTAAAATAAATAAAGAAAAGACACGAGGCAATTTCAGAGCTACTGGGTAAAGTAACCAAGGTAGCACATGATGCCTCTGTGATGTGTAGGAGCCATGGCTTGTGATAGGGAGATGCCTGAGTCCCAGTACCTCAGTGGGAGGAAGCCAGAAAAGTAGCATTGAAAATAAGTATTCCTGTCCATCCTAACCATGTGAAGGGAGGTACAGGCTCACTCTTTGAAGATGTATTAATCTATTCATGCCAAGCTAATATTACTAAGTACATTGCTTTTTCTATTGAGCAAATAACACTTTAGTAGATTAAACAATTGAAAGCATTGAGAACTTACAAGTACTGTTACTCTTTCCTTCTTTCTTGTTTTCTTTCCTTCCTTCTACTAAGTAGATGTACAAAGAGATTTTAATTGCTTACTTGTCAGGTTTTGAGTACAATGCATTTTGATGAAACCAAATGCCAACTAAAATTATATTTTCAAAATAATAATTTCTTTTCTAACATCTGAACTTCCTAATAGCTTCCAAATTATTAAATAATATGTGAGTAAACACTGAACTTGGTTTAAAGAGACTCAATGCTTGTATATTATGTTTCTGACTTGTAGAGACAGAAACTTAAGAGTCTGGGTCCCTTGGTTTGAGCACTGGTTACTGTAGAGGCTATAAACACCAGGAAGAAAAATTCAAAGTAGAAGTTTAAGTTTAACTTATTTCCAATATATTTAATGAAAACAACTCACATTTGACATATCATTATAACATGTCTATTTAATGACCGTGCAAAGTTTACATCCTATTTTGGGGCTACTTCATATGTTTAAATTAAATATTAGGGAGATTAAGAACTCTCTAATGTGGCTGGGAAGGTGGCTCAGTGGTAGAGTGCTTGCCTTGCATGTATGAGGTCCTGGGTCTGGTTTCAATTCCTCAGCACCACATAAGCAGAAAAAGACTCAGGTTGCACTATGACTCAAGTGGTAGAGGGCTGAAGAGCTGATGGACAGTGCCCCAGCCAAGAGTTCAGGCCCCACAACCAAAAACAACAACCAAAGAAACTCCCTAATGAAACAGCTGGTGATTGTAGAGATGGTAACAGGTTAGTATCATTTAATGTAGAATTAAATACTCTGAGAGTTTATATTTGAAATACTTTATTGTGATTTTCCTAGAGTTCCTGTGATGAGAACTGGCTAGACTTGCTTTAGTTACTGTTGGATGAGTCGAACAGATAGCTTTTTGGCTGTATATAGTCTTTGGGACAGCAGGTCTTTCTCCACAGCTTGTGCTCTGGAAAATTGCTGGAGGCACAGAGAAGTCAGTCAGCAAGCACTTAGACCAGTCTAAAACAGGGTTCTCCGCTTTTTTCATCCTTACATCCATTCATGTTGCATGTGAATAACTGAAATTCTTTCCAAGAAAAAGTAGCTAAAGAAAAGGCTTTAACTCTCCATGAAACAAGCAGAGTGGTAAAGAAGTCTCAGGGTTAAGCCCAGAGGTCTGAGCAGGTGTCCTGGGAGCAGGCACTGAGCTAACTGTCCCTTCCCTGAAGACACCTTTGATCTTTGAAGGAAGACCCTGCTTCCCTCACCCTCTCTCCAATTGCCATATCATGTTCTGGAACCCTAATGAGTCATTATGGGGAGAGGAAAGCATGTAGCTAGATGAAATCCCATTTGAAAAAATATTACAGTGACCTTGGAGAGAAGCTTAGTTTGGCATAAATTTCAATTAGTATTTCTCGCTTAGCTGCTATACCTCCTGAAGAATGGGACTGTCTTTTATTTCACATTAGCCCACTTAGAATTTGTCCCTTGTGTATCTCTGCTCTTGTCCTTATTAAAACTTCAGGAAGACATGAATTTATTTTCAGTTTTCACCTTAGTGAGTTTCCTTTCTGTGAAATGATAACATATTTTAGGGTGGTGTCTACCCTGGGGCAGCAGAAACAGTGGTCATTTTTATTAATCACTGGTCAGAGGAAGGTGGGCCCAGCCCACACCTGTGAATTTCTGTCAGCCTTTCATCTCCCTTGGGAAGCATCTTCCTGTGTGTCAGGATTCTGCTAGAGGTGAGCAAGCGGTTACATCGAACTAAGATAGGAACTTGCAGTATGTCTTCCCCCATTAAAAGTATTATCCAGGTAGGCCATTGATAAGAACAGTCTAATTCCAGGAATGGGTACCACTAAAATGGAATTACTCTTTAATAGAAGACTCACAGGATCCTAAAATGATGGTGTGTTTTCCTCATCTGCAAAGCACACTGCTAAGACAGCCTCAGGTCGTTTCAGGTGAGGATTGTGGTGAAGAACCCCTGTGTTGTGAGCAATGTCATATATAATATCAAATTTTATTGAAAAGCAACAAATATGAAATATATGTTGATTTGGTTGATGTTAATTCACCAAATACTTAAGAGCCTAGGGCACTAACAATGTACTTAATTGTTCTTAATTACTAATACTAATTCTCAGACCACACCTTATACTTCAAATTAATTGAATTTACTAGCGGTATAGGCTAGGAAAGGGTTAAAATGGTGGGCACAGGGTTTAAAGAGGCCTTGCCTCAGGGCAAGAGCTTATGGCCAGATAAGATACTGCCCAGTCACAGAGCTGTCACTGAGCTGTTGAGGCCAGGTGGTGTCAAATAGCAGAGTTGTTTGCAGTGAAATTCTGGTTCAAGGTACAGGACTTATTTCAGGAAGAGTTGAGTCTGGGTCTAGAGATGATTTTCAGGCACACTTTATCCTCAGGAAAAAGTGAGTGGGTGAAATCAAGCTAGGATCGACTTGAGCTGAAACTTCCAGGATAGAGTTGGGACTTAGGCACTTGTAAATCCTTGACACATAAGCTGGATTGTCTGATATTGGGTCAGTGTGTGCTGCTGTGTCCCTGTACTAGGTATTACTCCTTTTATAGTTCACATGAGGGAGCTGCACAAAACAAAATATCTGTTTTGTTTGGTAAGCTCATGGGCTTAGTGTCTGTGGTATGATTTTATATATTTTCACGTGATTATTTGTAGGCACATATTATTTATCAATTCCTGCCTCATGAGGTGACAGTGGATATTCACTGTTGATGTATGCAAAGAAGATGTAAAATTATTCTATCTGGCAATTATCCTCAGCTTAGGTTAATGCTATTGCTTTATAAAATGTTATAGATCAGACTAGGTCTTAAAGCTGCTGTTCTGCACATTATAGAGTAACCCAGAGCAGGCCCAGCTGTTTCTCGTCACTGTGACATCTGGAAGGGACTTTGGTACCTCAGAGGAAGAGAGTGAGTTGTGTTTTTCTTAGTTTTCTTACTTAGCTTTTCAAAATATACATAAAAATGCACTCTTCCTGGTGGCTCTGTCCATTGTGAAGTGACCAATGAGCAAGCCATGAAAATACCACTGTAGGATCCTTGATTGCCTTCCAGCATGAGATGGAGCATGGAGAGAATCAGTCAGTACTTACTAGATTTCTTCCTGAATGCTAATCCCAGCCCTAGAGCTATCATGTGGAAAGGCTGTCTGTGTATGGGGCCCCCTGGGCTTTAGAACCTTGCTCTGTGCAATGGGAGCTTCTAGAAGTACTTTTATTTTGAATCCTGGTATTTAATTCAGCTAACGCTTCTGTGAATGGGTGAGAAAGGAGGAGGTGGGGGACAGTGGAGAAGCAGCCTAAGCCACTAACAATAGACGAGTTGTGGAACCAGTCTTTTGGGTGAGGTGACCAATTAATTACCAAATGCTGGACTCCCTTTGGCTTCTACATGGAACTTTTCTTTTTTCTTTTTGAGCTAGTCTCCCAATGTAGCCTCAACCTGGGCTTGAACTTACAATCTTTCTATCTCAGCCTCCTTAGTGCTGGAATTACAGGTATGGACCACTACATCTTACATGGACTTTACATATCTGCAGTATTTGATAAGACTAGCAGAACAGCTTGAGAACTACGATTTACACTGCTAATGAGTAGCAGGCTGCCCTTCAGCTTGCCCCTTTATAATGCCATCAGTGTGCTTTGTTTGGTTTGATGTTATGCTGTGTTATGTTATGTCATGTTGATGTGATGTTAGGTGAGAGTTGGCTCCCAAACTGCCTTGAGCTCCTCAGTATTCATCAGGACAATGCTTATATATTTCCTGTTCTCTCTTTAATATTTTATTAAGTTTTAGAGAAAGCATGTGTAGATAATATTTCTAAGCCAGTGTACCGCAGCTTCCTCACCTGCAGAGACCTGGGTTTACCTGTGGCTGTGGTTCCTGCTTCAACAAATGGGCCCTGGCAGAGAGGGGACTCACTGGTTTATTGCTTTATTAGTGAATACAGTCAAGTAGTTTAATTGGGAAGCTGACAGCCTCTCCTCACCATAGGTTAGAGGTGAAGTGTTCAAGGTTGATTAATTGCAGTTGTGGAAAGCTGCAGAGATGTGAGATGTAGGGATGTGGCTGTCCTTTGGAAGAGGCTGCTTCCAGGGCTATTCTCTGGGAACATGCTGAACCTTTCATTTCTATGCACTCATTTGTAGAGGTTCCACAGAAAGATGGACATATACAAAAAATACTATAAATAAGTTATTGAGGACTGTAATATTAACCAGTAGGACCATGAGAATTTGGGGCATTTAGCCATTTCTCAGAGATTTAAGATGAGTCATCTAACATTTCAAGTGTATA